ATATATATTGAACATATTAATATATTATATAAAAGTATATGAATGTACTCTTAAAGTGCTATCAAGATACATGCACCAACAAAGAACTTGAAGAACGTTATTCAAAAGTAATTTGGTTAGAAATTCAAGCTTTTAGTCTATGCCAAATGTCTAGCATCCTTCTGATAGGTAGAATAATGTGCTCAGAAATAAAATTTGTTTATAACTTCGATACATTGTTTATCGTTCTTCAGCACATTTGAAGTTCAAATTAAACTTTCATTAATGTGTCCTCGACAAATTATAATTCAAACGATAAACATGTTTTAACCAGCTTCGCTCTTCCTGTCAAAAGATTGATTCACATTCGAAATTATTATTATTCGTCCCTTCTCAGAATAAGTTTGGCGACCCCTCGTAGACGAGGAATGCTAAGTAGTGGTAAGATTAGGCGTCCGTAAATAGCAGTGGGCTCGGGTAACGAGACGTTCCTGCGTAACGAGGGTTTCCGAAGAAATCATTAACAGGGCAATTCCCGCGCTTCGCGAGTAATTACACACTCAACCATAGAATTCCAACTATCCCTGATTCATTATGCTGACATCGCGGCAATAGATCGCTTTTTGTCTTCAATTCGTCAAATCCACGCGACTGTGTCCGATCCTCCGATTTGATAAGCAGAAATGTTTAATGCAGTTTCAGATACTGGATGAGATAGACAAAGTTTTTATCGAAGTAAAACTAAGGTTTCGTATAACAAGTGAAAGATAAATAAAAGAAAGTTCTATGTGGGAACTTTTGGAGCACTCTGTATATTTATAATTATAGAGGCGTAGTTTACAATTTTTATTTTCGTATTATTGGGAGTTAACTCGGAAAACTAATAATATTATATTTTCAACAATTTAAACAATTGCGTGCATAGAATAAGCCAAAATTACATTTAATAGAAAGCACAACATTACGTTAATTTAAATTAAAATCACAATCTTCATTTGACTAAACATTGCGAATATATAAGTTCGCGTACAGCACTCGGTTACATAGATTTATTCGCAAAGTCAACGAATTTAAATTGTTCGTACTTCCAAACCGTCTAATTACTACAGAAAGAACAAACAATATTATTCTCCTCAATTGATTGAAAGATATCGTCTTGAATTATGTCGTTTAATTGTTCGTGACTGTCGCGCGGAGACCATGTTAGGCATCCGTTATTCGAATCAAATTCTACCCATCTCTGTTCCGAACCGAGAGAAAATATGTGCGAGAGGGCCTCGCGTACGCGATGATAAAACCAGAAAAAGGAATGGGAAAAAAAAGTCAGAAAAATAGTAGCGCTCGCTGGCAGCGCGGAATTGCAGAACTGCCTTTAATTAAAGCCATCAAGCTAGTTGAACAATTATCATTAATTACGGACGTTGGTTGGTCGCTCACACGAGCCATCGTCAGCGCAGAGCTGCCCTAGAACGTTTGGTTTCTCTCGCGTGCACGAAGACGGTTTAAAGAGACGCGGACCGCAACAAAAAGAAGGAATCCGACGCATAGGAAGGGAGAACGAAACACGATGGTGTATTTTCATCGACGTCCGCCTTCCTCACGGTCTGGACATCCAATTTGAATTCTTAAGCGAAACGATTTTCACCGCTGTTTGAAGAAGTGCTAATTAAAAAAGCGAGCACCTGGTATCATGTTCAAATCCTCTCTCGATCGTCTGTAAATCGTTGGATCGTTAACCGTCCGGTTATTAACGGACGGGAACAGTCTAACAGGAACTATTCTGAAACGATAGAGATTTCTCTGATCTCGAAGAACGTCGACGATCTTAATTTTCTATTCTTCGAGATTTCTTAATAGTTTTTTTTTCCAAAGCAATACAAAATTCTTTGCCCTGAAACTATGACCTTTCGATTCAGAGTTTTCTGGGGTCTCTTTAGGAAACTTCAAAATTAATATTAATTCAGATTGCGTGTTATTAATTCAGAAACGTGTAAACGAATGATTGTTTGCAGTGAAAGGGTTTTCACAGAACTTCAAGCACAAGTTTTTTACTTTATATGTTATTTTGTATTTGTTTGGGAACTTATGTTTTCAAGACACAAGACAAATATTCAGTAAAAAGGAATACAAGGAAAATGTGAAGAACGCAAGTCTAATTACAGAAATCTACCCTCGATCGCTGAAAGTTTCAACCTGAAAACTAACCAACACTTAAAATAGAAAAGAAATAGAGCACAAAGCAGAAAGATACCAAGCTCGCGTATTTTCTTTCGGAAGAATGTTGGATAAAGGATCTGGATAGACAGAGCCTCGAAGAGTCTGAAACGTTGAAGTTTGAACGCACTTGGCGTACGTTTTCCTAATGTACGCCGATCCAAATTTTACGTTTCGGGGAGTGCCACGAAGCGTTTGAAGCGGTAAAAGTGCTCTCGGAGATTAGGGTCAAGGAACTCCCCGCGTCGGTGGGTTCATCTTCGGGGGACAACAATTTCGAAAGGCCAGCGGACGCATCGCTCAAAGAGATCCGTGCTACAATAAAGAGGACAATTTACGTTCAACATTGTGGTCGTAAAACCGGGGCCAATGACTCGATGAGCCGGCCCGAGAGTCTCAATGTCATGATTTACGCTCACCGAATAATTCCCCCTGGACGGCGAAACGGTGGACGTACGATCGTGGAAAACGCGTTAATCCGGCATTTCCGAGTGCTTACTTTCGAGCGTGTCCCGTTACAATCCTGATAAAACGCTATGTATAGACCCCGAGTTTTCAGTATTGTCATTAACTTCTGCAGTTTATCTTTCGTTTCCCACTTAGAAAATTAGTATTCTAGGATAGGATTAAACGTACGAAGATAAACCATGCTTAGGTAAATTAGTAGCAGGGTAAACGACTCTGTTGAAAATCATAGTTTAGTACCAGTTTTTAGCTGAAATGATAATAATCTAAATATACTCGCGCTTGAGTTGCGCCAAGTGGATTTGTTGTGCTCTCTGACAAATGATTTTTAAAGTTCTAATATACATTCAGTCAATCTTCTTCCAGTTATTTAACTTTCTGATTTTGAAAGTAGAATGAAATTGAAAATAATTTCGCGTCCTGAAACACGCGATAAAAACCGAAGTATTATATATAATATATTATAATATATTACGAATTACGATAATAAATTCGAATACAATAACGAATTTATAAACATTATTAAATATTACAATTTGAAGAGTAGATAAATAGAAACTGAGCAAAATTATATACTATCTTGGAAGGCAGGTATTTCTACATAATGATTGTACACAGCTATATTCTATCGGACACACAATACAATCATGCCTGTCACAGTATATATTCTTGTTATCGAAAAGACACACACATCATAATGCTTCTATTATCAAGAAAGGCAGTATATCAACTAAGTAAAATTGCGCATGACAATAAATTGCGCGTTATCCGAGGCTGGTCTCGATTATGGTGTCTTAACGGGACAATGGCGACCGTGGACGATAATGGGGCCCGATAGCCGGGCCCTTATTAGGAAAAATTTAAGGTTCGGGCCGCGTGTTTATGGGGCGTGCGGACCTCACGCAAGAACGGGCCATATTTCTCCGTGAAATTTAACGAACCTCCGCGCGATGGGACACCATTAAAAAATTCCTGGGCGTCATGTGGCACCGGCGCATGCAACGGCGATAAACGCCGCCGGGGCGGACTAAGCGCGAACGATACGAGGGAAACGACGAGGAATGATAATATTACGGGACGTTTCACACAGGTCCCGGTGCAAAAGTGTCATTTGGCGAAGAAATTGATTTATTAGCTGCAAGGAATAATTGCACCCACCGCGAAGCTCGATTTATGAGCCGCGATGCTCTCGACGGGTACACCGCGCGATGGAGCGCACGCGTTGAACTCTCTGGGCGAAAAGAACCTTTTGCGTTCTTTATTTCTGCTCGCAAGATAGAGTTATTTGTGATACTTTGACGAGTACTGAGCACTAGATGCCTTAGAATTATAATTAGGCAGGTCTAGTATCAGGAATTTAATTGTCAGGGCAGTTATGTAGGGGATGTTTATGAGAATTCATTTTGTTATTATGAGATTTAGGTGCAAGGAACCTCAGAATTTGAGTTAGGCGAGCCTACGTTGAAGAATGTAACTGTCAAAGCACTCATCTAGTTAGATCTCTAGAAAAGTCTCTGAATAGGAAGACTTGAAAGGAGAACCATTTCTCAAATTACACTTGCATACATGAAGATTAAGAATTATAATCAGGAAGACTCAGCCTGTTTTAAAAAAACAGTTCGAATGATGTCTGTGTTTAGAAAGTGTTCATACATTAATTTCTCTACACAAAAATAATATTTATACTTTTTCTTTTTTACTACAAATGATTTCACATATTGAAAGTACTTACAACAAGTCGAGAGATTAGTATAAAGCGTACCTAGTCTAATTTTTCCAGCAACATTCAATTACATTTTAAAGTCTCGATCGTCGACACGTACGCATCGACGCAACGTCACCAGACGGACGTTTTAATTATTTAGGCTGACAAGAAGCGCGTTCGGACGAAAAAGTTCGGAGCCGTGGGAAACTCGAAAGTGCATTTCGTGCACGTAACGAACTTAAATAGGCGGATCGTGTGCATCGGTTGCCCGGCGACTATTATCAGATCAATATTTGCCAAGGAGGGCCGAACTTGCCTAACTTTGAGCCGCGTTTTAGGCTAATTTGCGTCTGCCGAGGGTGGCTTCTTGGGAGGTAGAAAGAAATTCGTTGCACGCTCTGGCAAACGCGAGAGGGAAAATTCGTGGCGACGTGTAATTCGATTACAATAGCAAGAAATTTGTTAAAAGAACGTGTCCAACTAATTCTCTGGTTACAGAGATATTTAGATCAAGCACGGATTCTCCAAGTCCAAGTTCCAGTGAAATTCTAAAGAATTAACGTAGCAACAAAAATATAAAGCTTTATTTTTAGAA